CTAAGTTAATTATTAGTTCTCTTCAAATTACTTGTCTCGAATAACGCCTATGGAAGTTTTTCGCGTAGATACGGTACTGTATTATTTTAAGACCAATATTTGAAAAGTTGAAATCAACGTTGCGACAATCACAGGTCGTGAATTAGCATTTGCATTATAACTAAGCATCGTCATGAGAATTAACTTTGGGATCCTTTAAGAACCCTATCAGGAACGTCGATTTTTTTTTCATCCCATCAGGAACAGTATTTTTGCGTAATAACTATATACTGTAGTATAAAATTCAAGCAAATAATAAATATATAGTATAATTTTTATAGTCATTACAACGTAGATTATTAAGATTGAAATGAATTGAGATTTTAAAAACTATATAATAATCTAGAACAGTTATTTTTTATAGTTGCTTTACTATATATAAGTGATCTAAAGCAAAACTTAAATTGCTTTATATTAAATGATCTGAAACAAAACCTGAATTGCTCTAATGAGTGCTACTAAAAAAAATCTATTATTATGCTTCCAATTATATTTTGTATAAAACATTCTCTAATAAATTATAGTTATTATATATTATAATTTCTAAAATATCTAATAAAAATTATCTGAATATTTTTATAACTGATTTAGTTAAATTTCTGATTCCGAGAATAATAAATTCAATAAATTAATAAGTATAAACTTATTATCAAGCTTTCAATTATAATTTGTTGTCAAGGTTAGACGATAGCAATATCACTAAAAAAAAAAAAAGGCTATTAATTTATTTAAGCAATTCAAAGAATCTTTGCATTATTACATTACATGCACCATGCGGCTAATGAAACGGACTACCATTTATGAAATTAGTTTATCAAAGTTTGCACGTCTCATTTGAAATAAATCGGCTTTAAAGGTAATTCATTGACTTCACATTACTGAAATAAAGTGGTTTTATTGAAATTATACTGTATATATATTGATTAGGCTGTCCAGAATTATGCAATTATAAATTTGTATATTAGGACTTTTTAAAGACCTAAGGACCCTAGGTCCCTAAATTTGGACTTGGTCTTTAAAGACCATGTTTAAAGACCAGGTCCTAAAGTCCCGGACCTAAGGACTTTACCAACCCTATTCACCATCCCAATCACGTTCAAAATGCGTGGATTGAGGTCCGGAGTAACAACTATCGTCTCCATAGTTACAAAAAATGTCGATATCTGCGGTTGATACTATAAATAATTTAAATTAATTGAATAAGATGTAACAATCACGAAATGTCATGAAACATATATGATAGCATTCTATTAACACTTTACCGTCCTTGTAATCTCTTTGAAAAATCCATATGCCCACCAGAACCATAATTGTGACATAGGGTCCGTAATTCCCTGACTTTCATAGGTTTTCAACCTACTATCGAGCAAGCTAACAAACATTTGAGCAATCTTTAATAAAACTTCCTTCTGTTCTCTAGTGACTGCATTCAATGTATTTTCAACTGTATGCAACTCTTGAGAATTGATCTTTTTATCCTCTTAATGTTGATTAAGAGTTATATTAAATTTAAAATGACAATATACAGAAATAGTATATCATGAAACAATAATCACCTTCAGATGTAATATCTATCCCTTGACCTCCAACCTCTGATTGTGGATTTAATACCATTTCCCTTTTACTGGCTACTTGTTTTACACGTGATATAACCTTGTTAATGGTGTTTTTCATAATTTCCCATACGTATGATCTTAAATCGTTCAGACATTCCATGTTAGAAAATTAATGAATTAAATTTAATTTAAAAAAGGAAAGTATGTTTATAATCTTACTTTGCAATGTCTTTCTCCATCTCTTCAGTGAACAGCCATGATATTACAGAAATAGCATCAATTACACGATAATTTAATAATTTATCAAGTAATATGCCTAAGAACTATATATATCCGATAATACAAATTTTTAGTTAATTTAATAAACGAGAATTTGAATGTCAATGAATACTTACTTGTGTGTTATTCATCCAAAACTCTGCGACGATTTTTACGGTGTGCAATCTTGCCTCAGGTGTCTCATTCAGAGACTGCAGAACCAGTAAATACCTAAAGATGAAAAGATTATAATAGTAATTGAATCTCTGGTTCAACACAATAATGAAGTACGTGATACACATATTTAGTTACCTCTCGATTACATTCAACACATGACTAAAACTCTTACTGCCTAGCATCAGCACACATTGTACAAACAAATCACGAATTGTTTGTTCTTTTTCTTTTGCAGGCAGGTCAGGAAAACTCTTGCCTACCTCATCCAAATGTGCTTGTATCTCACTATTAGGGCATTTGTTTCGAAGTTTACTTATCAAACTTGTAGCAGAATTATTTAGATGGTGGTCTAAAATAAAACATATAAATTTGCATGTAAAAACTTTTTCAGAAATGAGTAAATCGTAAGCATACCAGGATCTTCGTAACGAAAATTCGTAGATGGTTCAGCTGCCGGAAATAAAACAAAAAATTCTTCTGGTATTGTAGACCTAATCCGATCATAATAACTATAACGTATTGTCTTTTCTAAAGTCTCTCGTATGAAACATACTTTTGGATGCAATGGGTCCAATTGTAAAGTTGACTCCCTGAAATTCGAAAAATTGTCTTATGTCAATATATGTGTCATTTAGGGTAATTATAGTCTGGAAAGAATAATGTGTTCCTACCAATCTTTCCAGTTCCACACGAAGCCAAAGTTACTGAGATGATGTGCAAACCAATTCCAAAATCGGTAGCAGCATTCAACATCCATAATACCAAGACGATCAAATAAAATTCCTATGGCTTTACCGAGGTAAAGAGAGAGCCACCCGCAAACTTAAGGAATTAATATGTGGCCTAACTGAAATATTTATAAATACACATAAAAACATAAAGTATAGCAAAGGATATGATAGGCGGAAATGACTCATGCATACTCTTGCATATTTCAGTCAAAAGCGAGTGATAAAATATGGGCTTAAATCTGGGTTGTGGCAGGCGAAAAATATGACTAAATATTTCCTAAGTTTATTTAATTATTTATAAGAGCTTTAATTGTTGATATTATTTCCAATCAAATATGGTAAGAATCGAGATACTATATAATCGAGTTTATTTACCTCAACTATAATCTGTTCAAGTTTAAAACTCACAATACCTTGGTTCGAAATTGAACCTGCATTAGCTTCTTTAGAATTATCAATTCTCCAATTATTGGAAAATGTGTCCATATCTGGCTCAATTTTTATATCGGGTTCATCTTTCACTTTTACTTCAGAATTTGTTATAGACGTGGTAGTATCTTTTTCAACAAATGTGCCAGATGAAAAATTGTACGGTAGATCCTTTAGATACTTTGTGCATTCTTTACGATTTATCTCATAAATCTCAATAATATCATCAATAATATCACGAATAAGAAAATATGAAATGTCTGTCGTTTTATGAGAGTCAACTATCGTCTGCGGATAGTGAATTTCAAATAAGCAAAACTTATCAAATTAATTTTTAAAACGAAAAAGACTATAATTCGCAAACCTCATCTTCCAAACCGACAAAAACTCGAAACAAAGGAACCGGTAAAGAATTGCATAGTTTGTGTGAGTGTTCTTTAACTATGAATTTATCTACTTCGTGCTATTAATTTAAGATGGTTATAATTTTGTCCAATGAAAACTTTGTTCATTTTATGAAAACCTCACCTGGTCTGATGTTACTAAAATACTATCATAATCTGACCAAGGTTTTAAAAGAATTTTGCACTAACAAATGCAAAAAATCCATATATGTGCATGTGAATAAAAAATAATTCTAAATATTTCTTAACAAAAGAATGACGAAACTAACCTCCCAACCTTCACGCCTTAGGTTTTGAATCTGAGACCACAAGATATCTAGAGTCTTCATAACCAAGACATATATTAATCAGGTGAATAAAGAAATAAATAAATGAACGTTGTTAGATAACAGTCAATCAAGACAAGCACATAAGTTTGAATCCAAGAGTGCAAGTCTATTTTAATGACTATCTATTTCTTATTTTGACTTAATAACAATATTGTACGATAAAATGCGTATTATTGTGTGCTTTTAACTTGATTGATTCTGTTAAAGAACGTTTCGGAATATTTTGAGAATAAGAATACTAACATCGGCTTGATCATATGGTAAATTAGATCCTATATACGGAGTGACGGAGTGAAGAACAACAGATCCACCAATTTCCGCAATAGCTCGTTCTCTAGATTCGAAATATCGTTCAATTTTCGATAGTATGCTGTCCAATACTTCTAGACTTCTTTCACGAAGCTGCAATGCTACCTATATGTGGATTAAAAGTTAGCAAAGTTAAATATAAAACTATTACAATGGCTATAACCAGTATTGGCATTTTGGCACTCTATTGGAAAATTTCACGTGCACCAATAAACTTTATAAATTTACTATATATTATTAATTATTATAAAGAAAATTTTTTATATTAAGTAAAAAAAATGCTCCATTGCTCCACTCCGTATAGTAAATGCACTAATGTACCAATACTGATTATAACTTATTTTCATGTAAAGCGGTAATCAAACTTACAAAAGGTAACGTAGATAAAACAATGTATACTATCGTATCGGCACGATACTACATAAGAAATATATGAAGTTAAATAACAATTATTTAAGTGTTAAAATATAACAAATACATACCAATTTAACATTTGGTTCATCAAGCGTAGTTAACAGATCATCATATATGTCTAGCATGGTTCTTGGTAATATGACGTTAGCGTTTGTCAATTCTGCAAAGAATTTTAACTACCAAAAAAATATATAATATAAATACAAATAATAATAATAATTGAAATAATTCATGCTAAGTGAAATTTCTCTCACAGCGAATTTTGCCCCACGCCAATTTCCCTCATTCAAACATTGCTGTAACGTTTGTGCTGTCATTTTTACTATTGCAGAACCGATATCAGGTCGTTTGACGTTCACAAGACCAACGAGGGTACCGTATATAAACGTTTTCATTGGTAATTCCATGAAGCTTAAAATCATTAATGAAATAAATATGGATAATTCAATCAATACGATAGATAATCAGACGCATTTAAAAATATTCAAACCAATTTTTTATTGTCTTCAATACAAGAGGTTCATATTTAGAATATTCAGTTTGAACAATATCAGCAATTTTTTCAATATTCTTATGTATTTCCTGGGGTGTCATCTAACAAATAATAACAATATCAATTATTTATCAACATATGATTCATTTGTTGCAATCGTGAAATTATTTTGATGGTATACCTTATCACCCAGAATAACTAAAAGAGTCGACAGCTTTTTTTCGGGACTGTCGTCTGTAACTTGATCCTGAGATTCACTATAACTTCTACCACGCTCTCGTTGCTTTCGATCGCGTCCACCATTTCCCCGACGTTCGTCGTCTATAAGAAAGGTATGATATAGTAAATTTTACTGTACACAAATCTTTTGACGTGTCTACAGCATGAAACTTTAGAACAAGATCAAAAAAAATGGTCTTATGAGCCGTACCTCTGTATCTTTTCTTACCACTACCTTGTTATTGACGTGTGGTTGTTTTGTAAAGGTAAATTCGATAACGTAAAATAAGCACAAATATTTATAAATGAGCGCGAAAAATAAAGTAATTTAGTTATGCCTTACTATCATTCCGGCGGCTCCCTCCAGTTTCATCTGGTGATCGTTCCATTTTAACAAAATAAAAAATGTGCAAACTTAAAGGAGTTATTATGTATACTAAAAAATGTCGATATCAATATAGTCTAATTAGATTATTTAATTGGCTGACATCATCACCAAAGTCACAATTTTTTGTGATGCGTGTTTCGATTAAATGATTGGTACAAAATAAAGAAAGTGATAATTATAAGGGCCTGCTAAAATTTATAAATTGTAGTGGAATAAGTAGATTATCTCAAGATCATGAATCAGGCCCTTAGGTATCTCATTTTCCGGCCATTCAATCTGAATCCAAAATTATTTGCATTTTTTTAATCTATTAAAAAAGATACTTGAAACAATGGGCCGTAGGCCGGGAGGGGAGTATTTTCAGCCCTTAAATATCTATCCCCTTACGGCATATAAAAATTTGGGTTGCTATGCTGTATATCATTTTCTGCACCTCTGATACGAGACTCCGTATAAAAAAAAAACTCAACTTCCATACACGGTCTATTGGAGGCTTCAAATTAAGATTGGAACCGTTTAACCGCATAAAAATCGATCCATGTTTCCGGTTGCGATTAGAATTGGTGGCATCAATCAGATATCGATAATAAGCCACCATTTCGTGTCTAATGGATTACATCATCGAAAAATGCCTTATTAACGTAATAACTAGGTCCTTCTCAGGATCTCATCTTTTCTTAAAAGTTTCAGAAGCTTTGTCCTTCTACAGAGGTTTCGCCTTTCATTAGGGGCTTGTCTTTCGCCGGGAATTTAACCCTTTGTCAGGAGTTTCGCCTTTCGTCCGCCATTCACATAAAATTTTTATCAAACAACTATAGTTCAAGCAAAAATACCATTCTTGATGGATCGTCGGTACTGTTCTTGATAGGTATAAAAAAAAAATCGATTTACATACCGTT